CATTCCAGGTTTCCCTGCAGTGCTCAGTGCTGCTCAAGTTCCCTACAACCCACCCCGTGCATTGATGGCTTTGAGAGGCTCTAAAGGAGAAAGGATCCCAACTAAAACCATGGTAACCAAAGGTCTGCTGTGAAAAGTGAACAAAGACAGCTATTTTTGGATGCTGGGAGATTTCTGCATGAGGCACCTTCCTGCTGAAAGCACAGCAAGGTAAACACCTGGAAAACACCTCTTGCTTTCCCGTTTTTTTCTTCCCTTCCCTTCTGCCTCAATTGAGCAAAAATGGAAAGAAAAATCCCAAACCCAACCCAACCTCAAGCCCCACGTGGAAAAACAGCATCCAGATTTCCAATTCCTGCCTGGATTAAAATAGGCAGGATGAAAATAGCTCCAGGGAGGAATTGGATTTCTGTACGTACGTGACATGGAGGCCAGCTCCCTGGGCATGTAGCCCTCGGTGCCCATCTGGTGCCAGGTGTCTGTGGCAAAGTTGTACCTCCAGAGCTCCCTGAAGAGGGGGTAGTCCTCGTTCTCTGGGCCCCCAGACTCATCGTAGTCGGGGTTGTAGCCCCCGAAGACGTAGAGGTTGGAACTGTCGGCCACGCAGCGATGGCCGCTCCGGGCCGGGGGGCACCGGTGGCCTAGAGAGGAAGAGGAGGAGAAACAACAGCTCCACGAGGGCTCAGGGTGTGCCAGGCTCAGCAGGGCACCCGCTGGGCTGGAATCCACAGGGAATCCACAGGGAAGGGTCTCTGCAGCACGAGGAAATGGCTGTGGAAGGACAAGCTGGAAAGGGACACTCTGTGTGTCACCAGCTCAGCCCTGGAGCACTCTAATCCTTCACTACAGCCCTTCTGAGGAATTGGAGAAAATCCCTCTTCTTTCATTCTGCTTGGCAAAGTTCACTTAGAAACAATTCCAAATGTCTGTATTTAGAGCTGCCCAATAGAGAAAAAATCAAGGATTTCCTTTCCCTCTGACAAAAACCTCTCCATGACTTCCCTCTGTTCCTTGGATCTGAAGACTTTGTCTAAGACACTCAATTTTCTG